GCGAGATGACGATTCATTTTGTTCGACCAATAGATTTAGATTGTCGCGCAATTTATGTATTCGATCTTCGAGTAATTGCGCTAATAGAGGTAAAGAATGATCTGGTGCTTGTCTACCAAAGTGTCCTAAAATTGTCAAGCATTTACTATTATCGATCTGTGTAACATATTTTAATAGACTAATACACGGATATTAGATGCGTTCTGTTTCTACATGATGTATCATTTTATCTTTATTCAGAATGTACTTACTACTTACCAATTATTTGTAACTGTTCCTTAAATTTAACTTTATCATCATCCTCTACATCTGCTACTTCCTCACTAAGACTTTTTCCACCAATGTTTCTAACACCCTCTGGAGGTGATAAGTGACATCGAAGATATATATTAAATATCTGAATAGAACTCTGTTTACAAAAATCTGGTGGAAATATATACGCTGAATATAACATACACGACCATACTTCAAACATATGTTCCATAGCTTCCATATATAAACAATCATCAGCACGTGTCTGTAAATATTATAAAACATTAAATGTTTTTGTTTTATATAATTTTATATGTATAATATTTATATATACAAATCTTTTATATATATATCTAATATCTATATCAATAATTTATGATTTTATAAATAAATAAATAAATATATATATATATATAACAAGTATTTTTTCATTGAATATATTTAAAAAAACTAAAAGTTAAATTAAAAAAAAAATTTCTAGATCAAAATTCAGACACAAATTTGAATAAAATATAGTAATAATAATTACCGATTCTTCTTGTGCAGCACATTCTATAAATAAGCATGTTAATCTTGTTATTTGTTCCATAAATGACTTGTATAAGTCTTCAGGAAGACTTTTCAATGAACTTTGAAAGAAATGATTAATCTTTTTTATAATGTTAGTAATTCCATTTGCCTCTTGATCGCTAATTTCAATACTTAATACGAGCTTCAAAAATCTCTGTATGTAATTTGTCAGGTACTGCACTTTTACTTGTTCTCCATTTAGTATTCTACCATGTAAACTCGCCATTTGTATCAAACAATTCATAGCATGGTGAGCTAATTGTGGATTGCTGCGTACTTTCCAATATAATGTAAAAAATAAATCTAATATTGCTGGATCTAATATTACATCTTGCCACGATGTATGTATGTTCAATGGTGGATTATTTCCAGATTCATGAACTTCCCACATGTATAATAATCTTGTAGGCAGTGCAGTGGAGTTAAGGTATACATGAACAATTGTAATGTGTATCTTACAAATATTTATCTCTATTCTATTTACATTCATATATATTTCCTTATCATATTTCACATTTAGTATTAAAATTTGTATAGCATTATTATACCAACTTAAATACCAAATATGAAATACAAATTAAATAAAAGCTGTAATGTTCAAGTTCCTCTTTTAGTTTCTTTCTATTTAATATACAATATTTTCATATTAATACATAGATTGATTCTAAATATATTAATAATAAAAGGATATAATTTACATAGATAAATCCCCAAACGAGCATACTTTCCACAATGGAAAGTAAAGACTTTACGAGGGGTAATGTCGATTCATCAAAGTCCTTTTTGATTAATGCACTAAATACTTCGACACAAAACTTGAAAATTTTTTTCATATCACTTTGTTCAAATTGTTTCTTCTCCTTAAGATGAACTTCCCATGTCAAACCTATATTGGATGATTTAGCAGTTGTTGCATACTCTTGCAATATCGCAGATAAAATATTGCATCCTAAAATTTGCTGCAAACAAAAAAATAATCTTCTTTCTATTTTTTTCTCCTTACAAAATAAAAAGTCAATTTTGTCAATGTACTTACTTCAATATATACTTACATTTGGTAAGTTTCCACTCTTAATTAAATTTTCTATTTCATCTATTATTCGACTTCTTTCCTGTCCAAAGTCATCCACGCTACCTCGTTTAACTATTATTGCAAAAACTTGGAGTATTCTTGTCCTAACATATGGCGCTAATGTAGGTTTGTTTATAACATAGTGCAACAGATATTGTCTCAACGAAGAGATGTCAGATTCTGACAGAGTGGGCCATTCTTGTATCAGAGCTGCCTTTATCAAGCCAGCTGTTTCAAATAGTATATAATCTACAGTGCTTAATTCTAAAATTTGCTGACACAGCTGATACGGTGATTTCGTTTTACGGAAATTTAAAAATACTGTTTCTGCAGATTGACGTTGCTCTGATGAGATTAGATTCGGAGGCGCCTAAAAGTAACGCAAATACAAAATCATTTATCAACCTTTTATAGTTTTAAAAATATAGAAATAATATAGAACATATAAATAAGATATTTCTTTTGTATTATTCTGGTAAATCTTAATATTAATATATATTTTAAATGTATCAATGATATTTCTCGTTAATAAAAAAATTTAAATGTTTCATTATGATATTAAAATCAATTTCAATAAAAAAACATTCTATTTTATTATATTTCTATTGATATATTGCCGACTTAATGACAGATATTTTACAAAATCTGTCTAATAAGTAAAATAACGCCATAATTACGTGATATTCTTCGTAATATATTAAATTAATTTAAAAAGATTTTTAACTTAATTTATTGGCTCATTGCTCTGTTTCTCTATATTAGTTGTTAAAAACATATTGAGCCTTATTACAAACATTTTAATAAGTAAAATGTTAGTAAGTAAAGTGCTAGGCTATTTGCCAGGAGATTCAAGTAGATTTTGTGGCAAATTAGAGGATATTCAACTATAAAATTTGTTCTTTTTAACTAAACTTGCAAAGTTCTTTTTTTCTTTTTCTCTATACTAGAGAAAGAAAGAGAAAAATAAGTAGTACAATACTCATCTATAGACAAACTTGCTAATATCTTGTTTACTTTGAGTACCTCTATCATAAAATAAGTCGAAATGAATCCTCATGGAAATTGCATTTTCCTTAGAAAATACAATAGAAATCTAGAGAGTAATATTGGGTACATTCAAGTTAACAAAGCAGCCTATTCACCGAGCAAATAAATATAATTGGTTATAATAATTTATTACTTATAGATCCAACCAATCATATTCAATCACTCGGCAAGCGTACCTAGCCACTTTGTTATCTTGAATTTGCCCATTGATTAATTCTGATTGGAATTCATTCTGACTTGTTCCATGATAGGTAGCTAAAATCATATGTTGCTTCAGTTGACAGGTATCTTTTTCATAAAACAAATCATGCTTCTTTAAAACAGTAAATATTAGAAATTACAAAAAACAGAATAATTCAATACATTTGAAACAATTTTGTTTTGTTTTTGTTCAAATAATTCGTTTTACTTATATAAAGTTTTTTGTTCACATCTTATTCTTCTCATCTTGTGTGTGTGTGTGACATACATGTGGAATTCGTTAAATCTTTTAAGAAATATTTTCTATGAGTGAACCACGAAGATCTTAACCCTAAAATAGAACCTTACAAATATAAATAAAAGTTCTTCGACATGATAAAGAGCAACGTGTTCTACTGATAAATTTTGACTCTGCGTATATATGCTAACACAAATCTCACAAGAATTTGTGAGTGGTATCTTTCATTTCGTTGACCGTTTGTGTTTAAACCTAAAATTTTGCTTGTAAAAGATAAGAGAATTCAACGGTACGACTCACTAAAACGATTTGCGCCGCGGCTTCTAACTCCCTCAGTATTTCCTCCGCCATCTCAAATGTATGAAACCTATTATTTATTTCAATTATTAATTCAATTATACAGCAAATAAACAGACTATACTATATACATATATATTTATATATACATATAAACATATTTACCTTAAACTGCACAGGCCACGGTGCACACAGACAGTGGACAGTTGGACACAGCTTGACGCCTGACGCCCCTGACGGCTGATTCGGCGTCACGTCTGAAATTAGATATCTTTATAGATAGCAGGTCTTATCATAGCGAAAGAAACCCAGATGTGTTCGTTTTCGAAACAAATTTTATGATCTGTGCTATGCTCGGTTGTGCCAACGTTAAAGGCGCAGCACAACTTTTGCAGGACGCATAAAAAAATTAACAAATCCTTCTTTTCTTTCCACTTCACGGAAGCATTTTGATTGGTTGATTCTCTTATGCGTCATGCATTAGGGAAATGTTCCGTTGCTCGCTGATTGGCCAATTAAAAAATTATATAACCTCATTGATAGAACAGAGAAAAGTTACTAGGCACCGGTCAATTAAGGGCCAAAATTTCACCAACGTCGGTTAAGCTAACCGACGGTTAATTCCAATGGAATTATCCAATCGCATTTGCCTTTGACCAGAATGAACCAATCACGGTTGACACTTTAACCGTCGGTTAGCTCAACCGACGTTGGTGAAGTTGGCCCTATAAGTGCTTGGACCGCAGCCATTCACATTGGGCGCGTTCAGCGGATTCAACAGTTGAGTGAGCGTTCGCTATTATTGGTGCATTCTTCTAGATTAAAAATTCTAATTGGATGATCTAAAAGAATACACCAATAATAGCGAGCGCTCACTCAACTGTTGAGTCCGCTGAATGCGCCTATTGGTCGCGTTCAGCAGACTCAACTGTTGCGGAGCAGATCCGTGAACGCCCACTGCTATTGGATGATCTAAAAGAATATACCAATAGCAGTGAGCGCTCACAGATCCGCTCCGCAACAGTTGAATCTGCTGAAGTGCTGGGGCCTGGAACGTGACCATTATATGAAAAAGTTCAAATATTATATTAATTTTGTTTAGAATTAACTCAATCAAGTTAATTATCGATTAAAACTTAATCGGAGTTGATTGAAATGGTTCTTAATATTTAAATACATTTATTAAAACATTTTAAACCATTAAAATTGGTTTTACATTTAAATTTACATAAATTTAAAACAATTTGGTGAAAAATGTTATAATCTGGTGAAAAATTTTTTACGGTCGCGGCAACACTGGTCGGAATCCGAAAAGATGGTCGTCAGTCCTGCGGCGTTACTGTTATTGTTTGAAGAAGTGTAAAATTTCTCTCGTAAAGGTCGATACACTGTATTTCATTGACTCTCTCTTTCTTTAAAATATCACGGTGTTTAAAGAGCATTAAAATTTAAATAAGTAAATAATTTAAAGCAAATTTAAGGAGCATTAAAAAAATGTCGGAATATGAGAAAGTACGGACAGGAAAGTTAGTATTGAAAGGCGAAAAATCAAGGTATAATCTTACTTTTTTTATTATTGTTCGAAATTTGATATTTTATTTATGTTTCTTATTTATTCGATATTTTATTTATTGTTTTGTTTCTTTTCAGACCAAAGAAACGAAAATCCAAGAGACAAGAAAGAGAACAAGATGTCACTGTGGAGGATAAGGATACTCTTATTCATGGTATTTGTTTATTAACTTTTTGACAAATGTTAATTTACAATTATATATTAGATTTTATATATTTCATTTTAGCATGTTATGTAGTACATCCTTAGCATATATTCATGCTACTTTATTTAACATGGTAAATTTCCTAATAATTGAATACCTATCACCTTTAATATTGAATTATTGATCTTAGAGCAGTGACTTCTATTCCTCAATTTCATTTATATCAAAATATATTAAATGAGTATATATTTATCAAAATCTAATAAAAGGATATAAGATTTTTATTTATTAATTTTTTATCTTATCTATTGTATAAAACATTTGCAACATAGATACATATTTTGTTTAATAGGAGGATGGTGGAAAGTTAAGAATGTAACTGAAATTACTGGAACAGTAGCTATTGAATTTGGAAACCAAACTTATATGAAAGCACTTGATAATGGATTATTTACTCTTGGAGCACCACATGCCGAAGGAGAAGGCCCTTTACCAGAAGAAATATTAACGGCATTTCCTATAAGCGAGAATAAGGTTGCTTTGAAATCAGGTTATGGCAAATATCTTGGGGTTGATAAAAATGGCATTGTTATTGGACGAAGTGATGCAGTTGGATCTATTGAACAATGGGAGCCAATTTTTCAAGTAATTTCTATCTATAGAAATAAAAAGAGATAGTTAGAAATAGTTTTATATATATTTTGTGCTAATATATTTACATTTCATTCATTTTTTTAAAAAATATCTGGTATTTATATCTATAAAAAAAATTTAACTTTTTGGTTTGCTTTTATGTTGTTTCGTATCAAAGAATTAAAACATTTTAATGTACAATTTCATTAAATAATGTATAAACAAAAATAATAAGTATGAATATAGTTTTAATAGGAAGTTAAATTTTTATTACTAAATGTAGGAATATTTTTATACTCCTTTTTAAATATATTAATGCTTTTTTTCAGGATAACAAGCTTGCAATACTAAATAATACTGGATGTTTCATATCAGTTACAAATGATGATGATATAATTTGTCAAAGTAGGACAGCTGGTACATCAGAATTTGTTGTTGTAAGAAGTATAATACAACGTTCTCAAAGTCCTAGTAAAGACATTCCAAAAGAAGAGCAAGGCTCACTCGCAGAGGTTGAAGTAAATTATGTGTGAGTATAATGTGAAATCTTATCAATTGCATTATTAAGTAAGCAATTATTCAAATTCAAAACCATTAAAACTTTTACATTTTGCAACAATTATTTTGCTGTGTTAATTGCTATTTCTTTTCTTTTATCTCAAATCAGATGTTTAGAATTTCTAGTATTAATATTTACTTAATTTTACAGACGGAAATTTCAAAAGTTTCAAGATAAAAAATTAAAAATAAACAAATCTGATCACTCTGAGTTGGAAAAAGCAAAAGTGGAAGGAAATTTGCATGAAACTCTATTAGATAGGAGAAGTAAAATGAAAGCTGATCGTTATTGTAAATAAATTCAATATTGTTAATTTATTATGAAGTATGTATTGTAAATAAATTATGGAAATACATTTTACCTAAATTTTGTCTAATTATTTATTATCATAAAAATAATTTAGGATAAAAAAATTTTATTAAATATTTCAATATTTTAAGAAAATATATATTTCAATATTACACGTATACAGAGTATTTATGAAGTCCCACTCAGGCCCTATATCTCGGAAACGGCTTTAAATATGGAAAAATGTTTCAGACAAAAGTTGTAGGGTATTAAGCAATAAAAAATGGGTTTCATTTAAAAAATTTGAAGTGACCTTGCTTTAACCTTGGTGACACCACTCAAAGTCAAACCAATGGTACCATCATATGTCCCTCTTAATGTCCTACAACTTTTGTCCGAAATATTTTTCATATCTAAAGCCGTTTCTGAGATATATGGCCTGAGTGAAACTTATAGACACTCTGTATATGAGACAAAAATATTCAATAAGTTTATTAGATAATGCCTAATATATATAGATATTGTCTAATATCTAAAAGCATTTTATAAGATTATTAATATTATTACAGAGAAGCAATTATTTACGTCATTAAATTACAAATTAATGTTGAATATACTGAAAAAAAAATTTAACTATAAGAAAAAAATTAATGAGTTTAGCCAATAGATTTTTTTTTAATGTTAAGAATTAATGAAATAAAACGATGTAATGGCACAACATACTGCATGAAATTATATTTATTCTAGTTACTTTTGCATGAAAGATGGGGTTGCAACAATGTGTGTGTATATGTGTGTGTGTGTGTGTGTGTGTGGCGCGTATGTGTATTTGATATAAAAAGCATATTCTATATCTAAAATATATAGCTATATATAAAATTTCTCTACTTACAAATTTTACATAAATCCAAATTTATCAAATTAGATTGTTATATTTTATACAAAAAATCGGAATGTGCTTAACTCTGATAAATTATAGAAATTATATTACTTTGGTTTTATATATTAGGTGTACAAATTAATTCTCGGCTTTTTTTTTACCTCCTCAGTTGTTTTAGGCCCGATTGCACCAACGTGATTTCGATTTTAAGCGAGACTTAAACTGTCTTTGTCTCTGTCTCTCTTTCGGCTTTAATAGAAGATAGATAGAGTTTTAAGTCTTGCTTAAAATAAGTAATGTTTGTGCAACCGGGCCTTAGGCAATAGGAAACGTCTTGCTAGATTACTCCAAGCGTATTTGCAAGTTCTAATTGCGTTTGGCAAGAATTCTCGTTCAAAATTTCCTTCAACTCTACGTCTTCCACTTTTTTTGGTTGACCAGAGCATTCATGATCCTCAAGGTCAAAATTTCCTTCTCGAAACTGTTGGAACCATTTTTTACACGTACTGTGCGATACAGCATTCTCGTCCAAAGCCGAACAAATCATTTCTTTTGCCTCAGCCGTGTTTTTTTTTTTTGAAAGTTAAAACGCGAAAAAAAGGCAGCTCATATACTACTTTTTGAACGACATCGTATTTACTGCTGATTTTTCAGATTATGTTCATCACAGGAAGATCAAGTATTGTACTTCATTTTAAAGCTAAAAGATGGCACTTCAAAATGACTACAGAGAGGTGGGAGTTCAACTTAAACGGGTTCTGAGGTTGTTGAAAGGTAGGGGCCAAGAATTAATTTATACACCTAATATATATATAAAATATATATATATATATAGGTTGGCACATTTCGTAAGGAGATTCATAAAAAGATATTCATGAATCATCTATTCATGTATAAGAAAAAGATACTACAAACCATATCTTTTGTATGATGTATATAATTTTTAAAAATATCACAAAAAGCCAAGACTTGTCAAAGAGTTTCACATGCAAAGATATGCAAAATAACTATTCAGAAAATCTTTGCCAAGTCTGTGCCCTTAGTCATTGTTCAACATTAAAAATCAATAATTTGTATGCCTAGGGATAGGATAACGCAGTACTAGAACACTATCAGCCGATATGATAGGCAATATGTTGTCACAGTGATGATTCACTAAATGACTTACGCTATCAAATACGCGATCTTTTGTGCGAACCTGTAAATCAAAATTGTGATACTTTATATGACCATCGTTTATTAAAATTCAAACGCAGAAAAATATTTGAACATATAAATTTATAATCGGCAAATGTTTTAGAAATTTTATATCGTACACACTTTAATTTTTGCATTAATAATATTGTTATATAAATTTTGTTTCATACTTACGACGCCTTCAGGATCAATTAGTAACAAATGTTTTGGGGTATTATTGTTCATTCCAGTTAGAACGTACTGTCCAGGAGAACCTTGTGATTCTCGAACTAAAAAATCGCCATCCTTAAAAATAAAATAGCAAAAATAAATGTATATGTTAAGTGATAAGAGATCTTTATATATTTTGATATACACATATATTTACTCTAGCAAGCATAGATTCTGCTTCAGATCGGCTAACACTTCCATGAAACCAAATTTCTTGTTTTAATTCCTGTTTTTGTGATTGAGGACTTAGTCTATTCATATCCGATATTGCAGAACTGAACGGCTCTGTGATTTATAAAGAAAAATATAAGTATACTAAATTATAAATAAATATAAAAAGATTCTTAAAAATACATTTTTAATACTATATTAAATCTCTTCATATAAAAATATATTTGAGATTGCATTGTAATCATACGACATAAATAAATATAAAGATTGAAGCAATCAAAGACCATTATTTTAAGAGTTATAAATTTGAAATCTTTGTGTTAAGAGATGTGCGGTAAAACAATAATTCTCTTACGCATATCAAAAACATCAAAGAGTGATGCTGGATCACGATGATTATCTCTGTTTGCAGCTATGACACTGTCATTTACATAATTATGCTCAGGCATTATATTTAAATTTGTTGATGAGGATATAGTGCTATCTGAGTTTAAATCAATTAGATTCCCAGTTTCTGCACAAAAAAATGATGAAATTTATATAAGGAGGAATAAATATGTATAAAAAAGAAATTTATACATAAAAATTAGAGCTCAATGTTTTGATCTATGTATAACATTTTAAAGATATTACCTGCCAGCTGCTGATGTCTATCTGCAGCTGATGGGAATGAATCAACTGCAATACTATGTATATGAGTATGTGATGCATGATTTTGATGATGCTTCAAATTAGGCAGTGTAGATGCCGTATTAGGCAAAGGAGGTACTGGTGGTGGGCCAATATCAGGAGGTACTTTTCCTGGTAGATCATTATAATAATCCCTATCCACTTCTCTGACGCCATTTAGTACAGGACTAACAAATAAATACACGAAATTATAAACAAAGTTTATATTTTTGTTATAACTCTAAATCTGTAAACGTATTTATTTTTACAACTTACTGTAAGGAACTTGGTTTTGTAAGAAATTCTTTAAACCTTAGTTCGAATGCTTGCCCAATAGTGGATATAACATCCTGTGCTAAACCACCCGTACATTCAAGCACGTAACAAGCACGCCACTCTAGCATATTTTTAGCAACATATGCAACAAAATCTAGTATTTCCTATTACATAATAAAACATAGCTTTTAATTTAAATTAAAAATTATAACTATTTAAATTAATATATTATGAATTTTTATTGTAAATTGCATGCAATTTTATTTCATACATGTACAAAAATAGTGAAATAAAATGTACGAAAGATGGAATGCAATATATATGTATATATATATCTCAATATGTAAGCTTTTTACCGTATCACCGCCTGAAGCAAAAGATATACGTGGCATGTCATGTTTCGCAATAATATGTCCATTATCAATATTAGTCAAAGATAAACTGCAACTGCTAATGGTCAAAGTAACATTAGCAGCACTATGCTGCATACGAGGTTTACTTGCTATGGCTTTCAATACCTTCTCATCAACCTAAGAGAGAAATTTAATAAAAATTATACACACATAGATATAACTATATCTACAAATAAAAAATAATTTTCTATGAAATTTAGTACCCTTCTCTTTTTGTCAGCGGACTTTAATCCAGCAGCTTCACAAACTCTGTTTATGCATTCCCTAAAAGAAAAGTATTTATCACATGTGCTTGAAAGTAGCTACAACACTCGCAATAAATTATAACTCTAATTTTGTAAATATAATAGTTTAATAACTTACTTAGCTACACAAGAACGCGTTTCAAAATCTAAACTTTTCATGGATGTTTTTACTTCAAGACATCCAATATACTGTAATGTAAATAAAGATTAGATATTAGGAAGTAAAAAAATTGACTTAATAGATCATCTTTTTCAAGATTTGGAATTAGTGACATTTTTGAACTAATTTTCTAAAGGGCATTTACTGCCCTTCTCTTGTCCTTCCCATTCATTTCTAATAGCTAAGGCGTGACGCTTTACTTTACATTTGTACTTAAAGAAAGATAGGATCACATTTTATCCTGAGATAAACTTTAATAAAATAAATCTAAAAGCTCATTGTACTAAAGTATGTAACAAATATCTTAACAAATATCTCAATAATAACTGATCTATTACTACATAATCATATAATAATATATATGTATATGTTCAGTAGAAAATTTATAACATTAAAAATTAAATATTTAAAAAATTATATTTTAAATAAAATATAATAAAATAATAATACTATAGAAAAAATTTAGTTTAAATTTTAAAAATTAATATAAATTTAATTATTATCTAATGATATAACAGCAAAACAAGAGTAAGAACAAATGTGAATTTTAATATTTAGAACGATAAGAACTATTCACTGAAGTACAAACATTTCTCTGATACAGAATATTAAACCTTAAAAGCTTCAAGCTCTGTTCTAAAAGATTTTTTTATCAACTTTGTTGCTAGAATATGATACGTAAAAAAAAGATAATAAAATTTCTTCAATTATCAAATGATTCAAATACTGCTCCATTTTTATAAGTTCTTTAAATAAAATATATTATTTCTTTTCTTTTTTATAAATACA